TATGATCACCCACTCAGATGAATTCTCATACTGTCCCAACATACCCAGGTTTTGACCCCCGCTAAGGATCTCACTGATTGGCATATCAAAGACAGCCCAATCCGACACCTAGTGCAGTACCATAATCAGATCTAGGGGTCAGGTGTAACATTCTAGTTTTGCTCATCAATCTCCAAGGTCCAGGGCAATACTGGAAATCTGGTCCGGTTCAAGGGTTCAAGTAATCCTACACTACGTGTGCCTTGGGTCTCGCCCTGGTGAGGCAAGCCACCCCAACATTTGGCCGCACATCAGTGTCAGTCTTGGCAGGATAAATTTCCCCAGACTTATCCAATGGCTGTGAACATTTAAAACTAACACAAGTCTCATTAAGTGTCAAGTTTTAGGGTCTTACACAAAAGCATACCACACAACATGAATCAARCATGTACTTTATTTATTTACACTAAATATCAAAAGTACAACCAAAACTGATTGGAGCTAAGGGAATACAAAATTGTCTAACACATGCCCCACTTTGCGAAGGGCCAGGGGCTGCTAAGGGCCGAGAGAGTGATGGCTGGTTGGTGGCATAAGTTGGCATGCCTTTGGCATGAGTCACATTTTCACACCAGTTCGGCTTCGTCCTTGTGGAGGGTCAGCCAAAAGTACCCTTTCTTTAGAGCTTTTTGGGCTAGGGCCCTCCCGCCGAGGTGATTGCCGCAGATGCCTTTGTGAATCTCCCATAGCACGTACTCGCCCTCCTCTGGATGGAGGCATAAGAGGAAAGGCAAGGTGATGGATCTTCGGTATAGTTTTTCCTCCAGCAAGGTGTAGTGGGCTGCCTGACGTCTAAGTCATTTTGCCTCGTTCCTATCTTTAGGCAGTTGTCCTGTTGATAGGAAGTTGATGATGGGATCCATCTATGATGGCTCGGCCTTTATTAGGAGTACTTAGACTTCTTCAATGGAGGGCCAAAGTAACTTCTCGACTTGCACAGTTCGGTCGAGGACTCCGCTCGAGGTGCTTGCGAACTTGGAGAGGGCAACGACTCTTGCATTCTTGGCTCACGGAACCTGTTGGAAGGAGAAGCGTTGGAAATGGCGGGCTAAATCTTTGACTTAGGCAAGGTACTTGGACATGCCTTGTTCTCTAGCCTCGTACTCGTCATTTACTTGATTTACCACCAGCTGAGAATCCCTAAAGGCTTCGACATGTAAGGAGCCGAGGTCCCTAGCAAGTTGTACGCCAGCAAGGAGGGCTTCGTACTCGGCTTCGTTGTTTGATCCTGGGAAGTCAAACCCTAGAGCATACTCTAGGGCAACATCATCTAGGATGAGAAGAATGAGGCCCGCTCCGCTTCCTTGAGTGTTGGAGGAACCATCAACAAAGAGCTTCCATCGGGGGTGAGCCTCATCATTCATGTGATCCCTTTTAGTTTTTTCCGGGGTTTGGCGAAGGGCTCAGCTAAAGGTGCATTCCACTATGAAGTTTGCTAAGGCTTGTGCCTTGATTGCGGGCCTTGGCTGGTACTAGGTATCAAATTCAGAGAGTTCAATGGCCCACTTTGTCAGGCGTCCCGAGGTCTCGGGCTTGGCCAGGACAGCCTTGAGGGGCTAGTTCATCAGGACCACTATTGAGTGAGATTGAAAGTATGGCCTGAGCTTCCTAGCCAAAACCACGAGTGCGAAAGCCAACTTCTCTATCTTGGGATACCTGGTTTCGGTGTCACAGAGGACCTTGTTGGAATAATAAACTGGTTTCTGCATGCCGTCTTCCTTGATCAGGACTGAACTGATTGCTTCATCCCTAGCCGAGAGATATAGGTACAGGGCTTCCCCCTCGGTCGACCGGGCGAGGAGGGGAGGTGAGGTAAGGTATGCCTTGAGCTCGTCGAAGGCATACTGGCATTCCTCCATCAATTGGAAATTCTTCTACCTCTTAATGGCATGGAAGAAGGGTAGGCAACAGTCGGCTGGCTTTGACATGAAGTGATTGAGGGCTGCTATCTGACCGGTGAGCCTTTGGGTTTTCTTTCACCGTCCGGGGAGGTGCCATATTCAGTATGGCTTGTATTTTCTCGGGGTTAACCTCAATGCCTCTCTAAGTGACGACGAAGCCCAAAAATTTGCCTGATGTGACGCCAAAGCACACTTGTTGGGGTTAAGCTTCATGTTGTACCTCCACAAGGTGTCAAAGGTCTCGGCTAGGTCCGAGATATGGGTCTCGACTTTCAGGATTTTTACTACCATGTCATCCACATAGGCTTCGACGTTCCTCCCCATCTGATCTTTAAACTCCTTGTTGACAAGGCATTGGTAGGTGGCCCCAACATTTTTGAGACCAAAGGGCATCACTTGGTTGCAATATGTGTCGTGCTCAGTGATGAACGAGGTCTTCTCCTCATTGTCCGGGTACATCTTTATTTGGTTATATCCGAAGAAGGCATCCATGAAGCTGAGTAATTCGTACCCTGTAGTGGCGTCAACAAGGTGGTCTATCCTCGGCAAAGGAAAACTGTCCTTGGGGCAGGCTCGGTTGAGGTCTGTGAAATCAATATAGATCTGCCATTTCCCGATAGCTTTCTTTACCATAACCACATTTGACAATTAGTTAGGGTAGTGTACCTCTCGGATGAAGCCAACGTCAAGTAGCTTCCCAACTTCCTCTTCTATGGCCTTCCATCATTCCGGTGCAAAGTTCATCTTCTTCTACCGGACTGGCCTAGAACTCGGGTCCATGCTCAGCCTGTGAGTAATGACCAAAGGGTCAATTCCGAGCATGTTAGCGG